ACACTCGATTATTTTTCCGTGAAAAAATATATGTGTGTGTGTGTGTGTGTGTGTGTATGTGTGTCGATATCCGATTGTGAATATATTTTGTATATTTCCGATGATTATTAAATTGATCTAAACAAATTATTACAATTATTATTATTATAATTATTATTATTAATTTATTATAATTTAAATTATTATAATTGCAAGTTTTTTCTTTTCTTTTGTTCTTTTTTTTTTTTTTTTTTTTTTTTTTTTTTTTTTTTTTTTTTTTTTTTTTTTTTTTTTTTCATTTTAAGACATTTCGACATTTGACTGTGAATTATTTAAAAAAAATTAAAGATATCTTTTTCTATGTAACCCGATAAAAAGTATATTTATATCCTTGAAAAATATTTCTTTTAGAATGTCATTCTTGATGTTAAAAATTACGAGATTTAATATTTTTTTTTTTCTTTTTTTCTTTTTTCTTCTAAAAAAATAATTCGTGATTAATTAAGAGCAAATGAGAAATGCAAAGTTATTTAGAAAAAATGTGTAAGCACATAAAGCGTGTTCTTTTAATGCATCGAATGAATTCCTATTATTTAGATCAATTTCATAATCATCGGACTCATTTGATATGTCGTCCCTTATTTGTTCTTCTTCGTATATCATTGTTGTTCTGTGTGTGTGTGTGTGTGTGTGCTTTTTTTTTCTCTTACAAAACGATGACGTCAAAGGTCCAAGATCTCGAGAGCCTTAACCTTCTGTGTTACATTATCGATGTTTGCTTCATTATTCGCACCTTTTCTTTCTCTCTCTCTCTTTCTCTCTTTCTCTCTTTATCTGCAGATATTTTTTATTGTCTTTTCTATCATATTTCTTTGTTTCTTTCTTTTTTTTTTTTTTTCTTTTTCTCTTTCTCTTTTTCTTCTTTACTAAACCATCTCACATTTTGTGATACTGTTTTTTACTACTACCATTAATGCCTTTCTAATCTTCATATTTATTTCTATTAATCTTTTTTTTTTCTTTCTTTCTTTCTTATTGATCTAACCTATCTCGCACAATCCTCTTTTTATTATTAATATTATTATTATTATTATTATTATTATTATTATTATTATTATTGTTATTAATATTGTTGTTATTATTATTATTATTATTATTATTATTATTATTATTATTATTATTATTATAGTTTGAAATGTTTCCGCTAAATCTTATTATTTCTCCTTTTTTTCTATCCTTTTTCTTTTTTCTTTCCTATTTTTTTTTTCTTTTTGTTTTGTTTTTTCCTATCAACGAGAGATTAAGACAAAAATTAATAAGGCAAATCGAAGGTAAAATTGTCACAGAAGGTTAAGTGATATATTTTCTATATGCTCTCGACATACTTCAGAGACGTACGAGCCAGATCAATGTTGGTGGTGGTGGTGGTGTGGAATCGGTACTATTGGAACAGAGATCATCCTTCTCGATGTATCAACACTTGAGGAGCAGCTTAAAACGCACCGGCTCAAATCACGTTGCAATTATGAGGACCATGCAAAGGGCACTGAATGTACGACGTCGAGAACCTTGATGATTATAATAATAATTATTAATCATTCTGATCATTATTATTTAATTTTAATTATGATCTAATCTGATCGAGAACGTGACGAGGATTCTTCCTTAATCCGATCTGATTCATATTAATTTTTGAGAAGAAACAAAAAAGAAAAAATATATATATATATAAATATATATATACACTTAATAGATAATTACAAAAATAATGATAAATAAATATATAAAAAAAAAAAAATATGTTAAATTAATTCCGATTAATGGAAAACAAAGCAATCATTTAAAATGTATTTGTCATTATTTTTGCAATTATATTTATATAGATATATAAATATATATATATATATAATTATGTATATGTATATATATATATATATATACATATATATATATATATCTCGCATACACCCATCTTAACTAAACAAATGAGATCGGTTTTGATCGAGTTTTCATTTATCAATTTTATTTTATTTTTTTTTTTTTTCTTTCCTCATAATATTTTATGAGAACTTTTAAAAAGAGAAGGATCATGCCGGTTTAATATCTTTGACGATGACGCTGACGTCGATTTTAGGCGCGAAAAATTGTACCCTTTTGAAATTCAAATTCTCATAATTCGGGCGTATCTACTTTAATGAATCTTTCGGGCGAGAATTTTTTTTTTTTTTTTTTTTTTTTTTAATGTGAATACATCGCATAAGAATCTCTTATTTTTTTATTCTCCATTTTACGACATATCGATAAGCTTGATTCGTAATTGAAGAAAAGTAAATAATTAAATGAATAAATAAATAAATTTGACGAGACAAGCGTGTTCGTCGAGATCAACGATATTTATCGTTTTCAGGGAAAAGTGAAGAATTTTTATTTTATTTACGTTTTCACTTTTTCGTTGGTTCTTCATTATTGTTTTTTCTCTTCTTCCATTTTTTCCTTCATTAATTTATTTCTATTATCATTTTACTTTTTTTTTTTTTTTTTTTTTTTTTTTTTTTTTTTTTTTTTTAATATTCCCGTTCGTTCCTTTCTTTCTCTCTCGTTTTTATTTTATTTTTCTTCTTTCTTTTTTTTTTATTTATTTTTTTTTTCTTCTCTTCTCTTTCTTCAATTTTTTCCTTCCTTAAATATCAGTACTCTTTTAATTAATCATTAATGTAACATTTTATTATTAATATATCGTCGTACGTATACGATATGGGAAATACGTAATGATCTAATGATGATTTTATGTTCGCCAAAAAGTAATTTCAAGGAAAAAAAAAAAAAAAGAAGAAAAGAAAAAGAAAAAGAAAAAAAAATAATAATACAATATATATGTATAAATAGGATTTAATATTGTATATCATATTTACACGTTTAACTCACGTGTATCACATGTTGTAAATACATAAAAATCGTTCGTTAATTATTATTATTATTATTATTAAATAAGCGCACGCGTTTCTCCCGAGAAATTGACGAGTGAAGGAAAAGGCGAAAAAAAAAAAAAGAAAAAGAAGGAGAAGGAAAAAAAGAGAAAAAGAGAGTAAAGGAAAGAAAAAGGGGGGAAAAAGAAAAGGAAAGAAAAGAAAAATAAAAAAAATAAACATCGTAACCTCGCGTTTCCTTGCGAGTGAAAAATTATTCTACGTGAATTGTAACGAGAGAAGCATTTAAAGTGATTACTCGGAGAGATATTATTCGGTTCTTTTTCTTCTTCTGGCTTTTAAGGATTTAAAAAAAGAAAAAGGAATAAATGAAATGAAGAAATGAAAAAAATGAAAAAAGAAAAGAGAAAGGACAGAAGAAACGCTTAATATAAATTAAAAATGAAAAGAAAGAAAAAAAAAATTGTATCGCTTTCGAAGAGACGAAGAGAGAGTGTGTGAGAGAAAGACAGAGATAGAGAGAGAGAGAGAGAGAGAGAGAGAGAGAGAGAGAGAAAGACAGAGATAGAGAGAGAGAGAGAGAGAGAAGTAGTCCAAATAAAAATTCGATTCCATAGATAGAATCAAAAGTTCCTAGGCAATCGATTAAAAAGAAAAAAAAGAGAAAAAAATAAAGAAGAAGAAGAAGAAAAAAAACAATTACTCTTCCTTGAGACTTTATTTTTTTTCTTTTTTTTTTTTCCTTTATAATATTGCAAGCCTAGTAAATTTTGAGCCACACCCTTCTTGTATCTTCGTACGATTCATTGGCATAATTCAAATAATAACAATTTTGTATCTTCGTCTCTTCGATGCGCCGTTTTTTAAATTTGTTGTTCAAATTAATTAATTGATTCATTGATTGGTTAATTAATTAATTAATTAATTCGCTCTCTAAGCGATTGTATTTTTGATTACGCCATCGTACCGAGTAAATATATATATATATATATATATATATATATATATATATATATATATAAAAGAAAAGAAAAGAAAAGAAACGAAAAAAAAAAGAAAAGTAATAAGAAAAGAGAAACGAAAAGCAAAAAGAACGATTGTAAAATCAGCCGATTTTGAATACTCGACAATGTATGAATGTGAATATTATATTATTATTATTATTATTATTATTATTATTATTATTATTATTATTATTATTATTATTATTATTATTATTATTGATATTAATCATTATCGTCATCGCCATTATCATTATCATTATCATCATTTAAATAAAGCAATGATTATTCTTAAGATTAATGCTCTTAATCATTGTCTGTCTCGCTCGTCGTTCTCGTACAAATTTTGTCTAGCATTTAAAAATGATCTCGCTAACAATATTTATCTACCTCTTTCCTCTCTTTTCCTCTCCTTATCTCTCCTCCTCTATCTCTTTTTTGCTCCACTCTCTGTCTCTATTTTTTTTTCTTTTCTCTCTCTCTTTCTCTCTCTCTTTTGTTTATACTTACACATGTCGATTCTATTCTCCTTTTATTTTCTTTTAATTTATGGAATTTTCGTGAATCACACTTTCGTGAATTATGATTCATGGAAAAAGAAATGATCTGTGATCAAGAATACATCAACGCATGAGATTCATTTTCAAGATTCAAAATTCAAATTCGCTTTTGACTTTCCTAATTGGAATTTAATGTCTATACATATGATAATTTGAAATTGTTATTTAGTTATTTTTTTTTTCTTTTTTTTTTTCTTTTTTTTTTATATGAAATAAGACCAAAAAAAAAACGATAAAAACAATAGATAATAAAATAAAAATTTACGAGGATAATAAAGGAAGCGTGGATAAATAGAAAAAATATCTGAAGTGTGCACGAAAGTGCGTTTCACGACTACGTTGATTTACTACGACCTATGATTTTTCACGTGACACTTACCCTCGGCACACTTTATTCTTTTTTCTTTTTTTTTCTCTTTCTTTCTTTTCTTTTCCCCTCCCCCTTTCTTTTTCTTTTTTCTTTTTATTTACTTTTGAATCGTTA